TATTTTGGGTTAAAACCTGTGTTATCACCCGCTGCCTTCCCTCGCAATGACATGCCAATCGGATCTGCTCAGCCCTGCTCACCGTTGGGGATTGATCGACTCGTCGCCTCTGGACCGGTCCCGGTATCCCACATATTAAACCTACTGCTTCTGTGCTCCCTCCGCCGTAGGGGTATCACCACTCTCTCGACTCCATCTCCCATGTCATCTTCTCCGGATCCACCGAGTAAACAATCCCCACCGACGGGATCTGATGAGCTCCTCTTTGCCGAACATTCTGATTCATCTGGTACGGGAAACCAGATTCTCCAGCCACCGCCTTCAACCCCTATGGCACCGCCGGAGTTTCCTCCTCCGGAACCGACTCTCCTCCGTCCTTCTTCGGCCGAGATAGCCGATGGCTCCTTCCTCCCGTCTCTTCCCTGGTACGAGATTTTTCTTGTCATTAGGAGGCCCATTAGGAGTCTCTGGCCCTTTAGCCTTACAAAGGCTTTGTCCATACCTTCAAAGCCCATATTGTGGTATGCATTTGTGGTTGGTGTTTTCACTAGCCGGAATACAGCCAATGGTTCATTGAGGATGGTTTATTTTGCAACTTCCTTACTTATTTGAAAAAATAAGAAATCAACTCCAACTTCCTCCTTCGTCGGAGAGAAATCAATTGCATTATCCCCTTCTATTGGAGAGAGAACCTTTTCACCATCTTCCCTATCTTTGAGAGGGGTCGTAGTCTCGAGCGTTTCGCCGGGAATCCTTAAGAATCCTCTTACCGCTTTGTCTTCTTATGTAGTGTTCTTTACGAGAATAAAAGAAGAAACCGGACTCGTTGCGACGACCGGAGGTAGAGATTCTGTTTCAACATCACATATGAAAGTGACTAATTTCAAGCGATCCGACTTTGCCGTGAATGCTCTTCTGACGCATTTGAGCCATGCCTCAAATCCGCTGTCCATCTATCAAGATGATCTATCCATTATATGCTTTATTGTTGTTATCTGTTGTTTGAGTAATTTAAGAGAATGTTGCATTCCCTCTTGTTGTATTTCAAAAACTTAATTAAAGAATTAAGGATTGCACAAAAAAAAAAGTGTTGTATTTGAGGGAAAACATTTCCTTGGTATTTTTCTTTTAAAATGGACTTACAAAAGTGATTTTTTTTTTTTAAATTTCGTTTTTCCCTTTGGTTTTATTGGGGGTTAATTTTGTATATTGTTTCGGCTGAAAAGCTCTTTCATTTTATATTTTGAACTGGAACTAAATAACAAATTAATTAATGTTTATGAAAATTCAAAGTTCCATTTCAAGCTCATTAATTCAAAGTTTTTTTTTTTAGAAAGAACTAGCTCACTAATTTGGAAAAGAAGATTCATTTTTTCAAAGTTCTACTAATTCCTCGAAACGAAAAGATGTAAAGAATAAAAATAGAGAAAATTACTATAATATACAGCACAACAACAAAAAAAAAAAAACATCATTTACCGAAAGCCTACCAAAACTATGATTAGTCAATGTTTACGAAAATCTAGGCATAACGGGTAATGCCAGGGAATGAAGCAGTGAACATGGAGGAGCCTCCTTATCATCTTTACTCAAATTAATAAATTTATATGATCTTCGATAAAGTACTTAAAAAGGCATTGTTTTCGTAAACCAAACGCATAAGAGTTAAACATAAAGAGGGGACCATCTCATGCCATTACAGATTAGATTTGCATAAATAAATCAAATGGTTTGTTGTTTTGTCCAAAAGAAAAGGACCAAACTAGCTGAATTAGTCGTTCGGATTTATCGCATCGGTTAGAATTTTTATATGGGTCAATGTGTCATCTGCTCGACGAATCTGTCTGCAGATTTTGGGTTTCAGTAAAATATATAGTTTATTTTTTATATATTATGGATGGATCATAGTTGATCACATCTATGAAACGATACTTTGTTGGGTTCACAAAAATAGAGCAGAAGATTGCTCCAGGTCTTTCATAAGATTCCAAAATCTATTGGAGATGTTCCGCGATGGCCACCTTCCGTGGACCAGAAGGTTGACTTAGAGCTTTTGGTAAGATTCCAAAATCTATTGAATGACCAACTGGAGATGTTCCGCGATGGCCGCCCCTCAGCCAGAGCCTTTGGTAAGGCTCCAAAACCTATTGAAGGTGGATCTCTTTGTTTCATTGATTCCATTTTCTGTGCTAAACTCAGTTCATGAAACTTGAACGACAAAGATTTGACTGGTTTTGCAAATGTCGGAGAAGTTAACAATCCATAAGACATTAGTAACTACAATGTTACTATGGTTCCCAACATCTCTGCCTTGTTCATTTTTTTTTTCTCTTTCAAGATGAGAAAATAATTAAAGATAATGGTTTCACTGGAATTGTTTGTTGGAACCATTTTAATAAACAAATGGGCTTTTAGGCTTTTGGTTTAGTCAAAAACGAGTTGAAAATGTTGAATGAGAAATGTGTTTTGAGCTTCAAGAGTAGGAAAGCCATAAAACACATGCGATGAATACACATAAAATATCTCACATTCCTTAGAAGAAACATTTTGATGTTGTATAAATAGGAGCATGCATGTGTAGTGTTCATAACATCAAGCATGGAGAAACAAAGGAAACTACACGTGCGTCGAACTGAACCTGGCCGGGCGTGGGCCATGGGCTGTGGGCTCTTGGGCTCTTTAACCGATCCGAGATCCTTTCCACAAGATCACCTCTCAGATTTTTTTGGATAGCCTAACTCCTC